CCTGTTCTGTTCTGTTCAAATCTAATTCTATTCCTGTTCTGTTCTGTTTTGTCCTATTCTGATTCTATATTTTATTATCTATTCTACTTTCCTATTCTGTTCTATATTTTCTATTCTATTCTATATTATCTATTCTATTCTAGTTCTATATTCGATTCTATTCCACGATTCTAATTCTATTTTTTATTATCTATCCTATTCTGTTCTATATTTTCTATTCTATTCTATTCTATTTTCTATTCTATTCTAATCCTATATTCTATTCTAGTTCTATATTCTATTCTATTCTACGATTCTAATTCTATATTTTATTGTCTATTCTATTCTATTATTCTTTCTATATTTATTATCTATTCTGTTCTGTTCTATTCTATATTTTCTATTCTAGTCTATTTTCTATTCTATTCTATTCTAATCCTATGTTTTATTTATTCTATTCTAGTTCTATATTCTATTCTACGATTCTAATTCTATATTTTATTATCTATTCTATTATTCTAATTCTAGATTTTATCTATTCTGTTCTGTTCTATTCTATATTTTCTATTCTAGTCTATTTTCTATTCTATTCTATTCTAATCCTGTTTTATTATCTATTCTATTCTAGTTCTATATTCTATTCTACGATTCTAATTCTATATTTTATTATCTATTCTATTATTCTAATTCTAGATTTTATGTATTCTGTTCTGTTCTATTCTATATTTTCTATTCTAGTCTATTTCCTATTCTATTCTAATTCTATATTTTATTATCTATTCTATTCTGTTCTGTTTTATTCTATATTTTCTATTCTATTCTATTTTCTATTCTATTCTATTCCAATTCTGTTATCTATTCTATTCTATTCTATTTCTATATTTTATACTACTCTACTCTACTCTACTCTACTCTACTCTACTCTACTCTACTCTACTCTACTCTACTCTACTCTACTCTACTCTACTCTACTCTATTGTAGTCTAGCCTAGCCTATTCTAGTCTAGTACTGTGATGAAAGCACCCACAACTTCTTGTGGCAAGCTGTTCCTCTGGTTAATTGTCCTCCCTGTTTAGGAAATCCCTCCTTCAATCCAAGTTGCTTCTCTCCTTGATCAGTTTCCATCCGTTTGCTTCTTCTGCTGCCTTCAGGGGCTTTTGGACAATAGGTGGGAACCCCCCCCTTCTTTGGGGGCAGCCCCTCAAATAGTGGAAGACTGCTATCATGCCCCCCCCCCAGTCCCCTTTTTCTCTCGACTTA